GTGGTGATTGCATATCAACTCAAAGTTCTTAGATAAGGTTATCGTGTTCTTAGGATCCGTCAACTGACGTCTAGTCACTTTCACTAATGATCTCGAGTGTTTTACTGAGTGGTTCTGTTGTTCTCAATGTTGTGCTATGCTGTTGTATCTCATCCCTAACTCCATGTGTTGTCGATCATATCATTTTCTAGAATAACTGTTCTTTCCTGTTGAGTTCTCTTTGGAACCGTCCCCTCTTGATGAATTATTGTACATTTTCGACTGCGAATTGTTTTACAAAATAAATGCCAAATATGGCTGTCTTTGAGTTATCAGCAATATGAATCCTTTCTTGTACCCATATTTCTGGTGAACACTACTCCTAAAGGCACGGTTCACGATAATTTTGGGTATTATGATAAAAAATGGAAGATAAGGTCGAATTTAGTGCGATGACGGTGAAGAAACTGCGTGAAGTTGTTTCAAAGTGAAAAAAATGCTTCGAAAAACCATTAAAAAGGAGGCTTTTCAACCCGCTGACTAAACTGTAGAGCTGCTTACTGTGAGCTTGCGCATCACACTGTAGCTTTGGCATCTAAAAGTTCTCAATGCACAACTCCTATTGTATTGCACCAGCACGCAAATTTTTTCTTGGATTGGGTTCAGATTTGACTATCCAGGACCGTGCGGACTGAGCCGCGGTTGTTGTGAAACTAGTTGACATGCGGTCTTATCTTTTTGTGAACCATGTTGGAAAACTTTTTATGCGATAGCGCTTGCTAATGTTTCAAACAAAATGTCATCTGAGTTCAACGGAAGTGACAAAGACACATAGAAAACGAGAAAACATCACATGAAGACATTCGAAAAACTCATCATCCAAGTCTCTTATAAATCATAAGCTTTTTGTATTAATGACTTTTTCTTCAACGACAATCAACACAGGAAAAGTAAAAAAAGGCAGCTAAAACAAAAAAAAAACGTAAACGAAACGATGGTAATTTCAGAGCAACATTCAAAGAATTAAATGCTTTTAAGGGCAAAGTACTTAAACATTTTGCGGTCGTCGTTCAGCAAAACAACAATAAATGTTTCATTTATTAGCTCAAATAGTAATTATTCGCCTTTCAAAATGTACAGAAAGGGATTAAGTTGGTCAGGTCGTAGAGGCGGCGTTTTTCGAAGAACTGAAAGGTGTAAGTTACTCTGAATAGTATTTTTTTCCTGTAAAGTTAATCGAATTGAAAATCAACAAGCACTGAGGGAACATGTTCCCGCACTGACTTGGAGTAAAGCATTTCTTCCATTCTTCCAAGGTCAACTTGCGATTTGCGTCTGTGTCACAAGATTTGAAGAAGCTTCTAGAGCACTGTTTCACCTTCTTCCATTGAACTATTAAACTCTTGTAAGGCTTCCACTCACTTCGCTCCAAAACCTCAAATACCTCTTTGTAGAGGTTATTAAGCAGCTTAGGCTACGTTGACACTTATTCTACGATAGCACGAAAGTAAACCTGATTGTTGTTGGCATTAAGCTGGTCAAACTTCCATTTCAAAGCAGTTTCACGGCCTATGTTTTCGTCGGCTCCGTTCCCTGGAAAAAAGGCTGAAACTGTTTGTCCTTTGGAAATAGTTAAACAGGAATTTCATAAATATAAGATCACAAACAAATTTGATGTTCACAGGATAAGCGCCAAGTAGGTACGTACTGAGCACTACTACCAGGTAACCCCACGCGAGGACATTCTCTGAATCAACTTTTACTAAACCATTTTTATAAATAATTTTTGAATTTTGCTCCATTTCATAAGCATAAGATCACCTTGAGAATTTGAAAAAAATTATAATTAGTAACGACAAAAACACATCCAGTTGTCGCAGGAACTTCCTTGTTCTAGCCCAATACCGATTAGCCTATTGGCATACTCAAAACAGGCTTTCGTCAGTCCTCGACGGAGATTTTATTCCAAGATTCGAGTACTGTCTCCTTGAGTTCTTCTATCGTCTGGAACTGACGGTTGTTCGCATAAACCTTTTTTACAATGATGTAGCATAGTTTGTCCACCGGGTTCAGATCGGGGCTGCAAGCTGGCCATGTCAGAACTTCGAAATTTTGGGAAAGGAACCAGTCTTTCGTGGAATGATTAGCGTGGATTGCAGTACTGTCCTGTTGAAAAACCTGGTTAGGACCACGTCGCCTGCTCAGAGATGGCACCGGATGTCATTGTAAGACTTCCTGAAAGTTCTTGGAGTCCATTTTGGAGGCCACGAGAGCAGGCTCCAGATCGACATCTTTGCAGAAGGCACACCGTACCATAACGCTTCTTCCTCCGAAATCACTACTCTTTTCGTAAGTCATGCCAGTAGTAGTTGTACTCATAGGGGCCTTCCAAATTAACTTTCTTTTCATCGAAAAATACGGTCTGAACGAGAATA